GAAAAACTCATCACTCATCTCAACGTCGCTTACCTATCCACAGTGGATACCCAGAGTATACATATATGTATGTCTTCGCGATTCACTAGCAGCTACCCACCGAGCGAGCCGTGACGTTTGTAGACGCGTCCGGTCTCTTCACTGATTCCCCCTCCAGAAGTCTTTCTTTGGGTTTGGGTCTCCTTTCAATTCTCCCTGCATATTTGCATTTTCAATTCCCCTTTTTCGATCCAAACGACACTGCACCACCGGGCTGGGCCCAGCTGGGCTCCGTTACACATCAGTTCATTCACCTGGCCACATCTATCCCGGTAGCCGTCGTGGCACGTAAGCCATCTCTTTTATGGGTTAAGGTAAATGCAAAATACTATACTCGTCTTACTGGATCGGAAGTAATATCGCATGATTTTTCAGATTACAATTTCACCTCTAGTCTACGCTGTATCCCACGGTCCTCTTATTGCAATATTTCACTCTTTATATTTACTCCGGCAGATTCTCTCTTAAGGTTCGTTCGAGGTGTTTGTCACTGTATACCGAAGGGATCTGTCGTGATATAGGTTATGTATGTATATAGTACGGATTGGGAAATACGCGAGCCTCGTTTCCTATTCCGAATCTCAAATGCGAATAAGGATGGATACGATGGGTTCATAAATCACCTACAATTTGCTGGGATCTATTGAAAGCGTGTGGATACTGCATCATACCTTCTCGTAGAAAGGACACGGACTATGAACTGAGCATATATATGGATTATGATGGACATAAATATTACTTTATACGTGACGTAAGAATTTATTTTTATTTTTTGTAAGAAAAAAAGTACGATACTCTGACATGGAAGATATTGGTGTTTATAGTGATTTGTGTATTTATACCGATCACACTGGGTACTTGTGAATGGTACGTGCCTCTGGGATGCTGTTACTTGAAAATGGCTGCTATTAATTGAATCAGATTTCTTTCTTTGGTAGCTCAAGAACTTTTTCAAAAATAAGAGACAGAATGATACACCCGATGTATAACAAGGTCGGAGTCACGTTTGTTCCTTTTCCGAGGCGGCGCCTGTTCGCTTACGAAGCAGCTACGGCCTTGTTTTCTTGGCGACACAACAAATGGGAGTACAAGGTACTCGGAACTCGAGACAAGGTCGTAGCGCATCCCTTTGCGAAATATAAGTACTGGTTCAGAAGTACGTGGATACATAAAGATCCAAAAGCTACTTTAGACTCGAGGCTTCGCGTCGAGATCAGAAAAAAAATATACGAGTTTGAGTTTTTCAATCGGATTTAAAAAAGTGGGATTTTTTGTGATATTAAAAAAATGTAACAGATTAATTTTGCACGTGCATGTAAATTCTTTTTGGGTAAAAAAGTACTGCTTTAATATGAAACACCCGCTAGCTACGTGCCATTAGCGCTATTTAAAGGGTTTGCTATTGCGGAGTTCCTCTTGAGTTTATAGTAGGCAACGTAGAGGGTTTGACTATGCAGATGCGGACGGTTTGACGTTGGAGATAGAACCGTGATTGGGTGTACAGTTAGGAATTGAAACTACCTATAGCACATTGGATACGTAGTTTATCGATATAGGATTTAGGTTAGGTTATTACTATGCGTGACTTTGCCTGCGAAGAGAATTGTTTTTACCAGGCAAGTAACATTAACGTAATTGCCAAAATCACTGAAGTTCTTGCATTGGTTATCGACTGACAATACTTCAATAATACTCACGGCTGCTCTCAGCCTTTTTACTCTTGTAAATTAACAATTGGATAACGTATTCACGGTTTCCCTAGTGTTTCTTCCGCTGCAGTATACGGGCTCGATTATTAGCGTTATATACCGACCTACAGAGTCGCTTCGTCTATGATTCAGCCTGTTAGTTTATTGATATTCCGGTAGAGGCTCTGCATCAAACCCACTGGTAGTACTGCGAAAGTTGTCGTGTCTCTGTTTACCTTCGTGCAATGGAGTGAGACATAACCATACCTGCAGTGAGTTCTAGAATAGACTCACACAAGTAGAAACATTGGTTATGTAGATACGAGATTGGTGACCGAGAAAAATTTCGGATGCTTCATAATTTTTTTTTTCCTAGTTCTTTAGTAGCGAGCAGGCGTATCAGTTTGTTCGTAGAATCATCTGTGGCAATCCTTCTGTAAAATCTAATGACTGTAATGGTTTGAGCTTTTCCTCGGGGTATTTTGGTGATACCGTATCGCATTGTGCGATGGAACTTGTTTGCGAAGGGGAGAAAAAGAGAGAACGGAAAATCCGTAGAATAGAGGATGGGGAAGGCATTGATAATCGCCTTTGCAGCTGCATTGTAGGCTGCATGCGGAAAACTTTAAGAGGGTGGCTGGCTGACTGGCTGGCGGGATAGCTGGCTTCGTTCGAAGGGGTTGAGGCCGCGAGGCAGGGCTACAGAGATATGGGCTAGGTAACCAGGTCACCGGGACTGAGGGCATTGCTTTGCAAACCCCTGTTCCTCTTCTGCCCCACTCGCTACCCAATACGACATACGAACAACAGCATCACTCTCTCGTACCATTCCAATAGGTACCTCTGGGTCGTTCTATAGGGTTACGTCATCCTTCAGTATCAGCATCCCTCGAATCCGTGTTGTTTCTGTCTGTCTTATTTTGTCTGTTTATCAACCCTTTTTCTTTTGTTATCAACTAAGTGAACGACAGTAGCAAAATAGCAGCGGTTCAGCGACGGACCGAAGCTGCTATTGTAATCGGATCAGTGTTATCGATTTAACGATTATTGGATTTACAAATTTACAGAGTTTCGGTCAATTTCTCATAACTGTATTGGTATCGTTTATCGAAATTTTAAAACCTGTTATTTCTAGTAGACGTATTTCAACTAGAGTATTCTTAACGGATGATCCTCGCGTCTCTTCGTACTCGCAGGCGTCGCTTCCAGGGAGATTAGCGTTTTCGTGGATTTCATGGAAACAGCGTCAGATGGCGCTGCTTGGGGATTACTCAAGGAAATCGGGAAATGATGCATTGTTTCAGACTACGTTGTATTATACGAGGGACAAGTAGAAGAATGGGGAAAGGAAGGTCGACGAAGGGTTGATGATGAGAGGGAGGAAAAGTTCCCCCAAGAGTGCCAGTACTTGTAGTATTAGTAGTAGTCGTAGTCGTAGTAGTAGTAGTAGTAGTAGTAGTAGTAGTAGTAGTAATAATAATAATAGTAGTACAAATGACGATGATAGGGTGGTACGGAGGACCGAGAGGGGCGATGAGGAGGTAGTGAGGGTTGCTGGTGCCGCATCTGCCTGGTTCCAACGGCAGATAGCATGGAGGGACCAGAGAATTGGGTCAGCCAGCTTGGAGGGTACTTCAGGTGGTAGGTACCCTAGTAGCTAGGGTGTCTCGCGTCTCTTCCTGACCTCCTGTTCACTCTTTTCCTCTTCATCCAGCGCTCTCTTGCTAGCCCCGACCTAGCTACAGTAACGCAGTGGAGCTGGGTAAAGTCTCCGGAATACGTTGAGCCCCTTGAGGAAAGAGTTACGGGCGTAAGCACCTCCGGCTTGGACGAGTCAGCACGTGGCGCGGTGTTCGCGGCTTACTGGAATTTTTCCTGATTGAAGACGAAGTGGACAGAGACTTAAGAAAAAAAATTACAAAAAATAAGAGCTGCCAAGAGCAGAAATTACGGAATTTAATGTATAGCGTTGTCGGTGGGTCTGGGTATAGGATCGGCGAGCCTAGTGCCATCTGGCGGTCGATTCGACTGACTAGCATTGGTAGTAATCGCGGGGGATCCCCGGAATGAAAAAGAGGCACGAGTGCATCCTCGCTGATAGGCTTCTAGCGGAGAATACAGAACGCCAAGAGAACCGCCAAAAGGAACAATACGATACAACTAGACCGTGCGATGTGCAATATTTCTGCAGGCTGGGTACTGTTTCTGCACGGTCTACGTTACTGAACTGCAATCCTTAACTCCGGCACTTCCTTGCTATGTGGATACAAAAGATTCGCACAGTCGCGAGCTTGCGAGTGATAACGAGAAATAACGGATCTGTATAGAAAAATATAATATTCATATATTTTTTTTAATCTCAGCAAACAAAATGGCTGCCACTATCAATATCCTTTTCATTCGCGATATTAGATTATCTTTTTTCGCAATCTCTTTTTCTTGTCTTTATTCGTCTCTGCGGGTATCCACTATCTCGTATTCTCTTCTATTATGACATTTAGCTAATGCCGCGACATCCTTTCCAATGACAGAGACGTATATCTGTATGTATACGTTTTACTGTGTATAACAACCATTCGTTTGCATACGAAAAGTTTTCACGGTTTTAAGCTCATTAAAACGTGGAATTATTTACGGTATGGCGTTACCAGAAAGTTCGAGGAGAACCCTCCATATATTTTTCTTCTTTTTTTAAAATTATTATTCGATTCTTTCCCCCTTCTGAAACTCACTTCAAACGCGAACTCATTGTTGGTAGCGGGTAGGCTTGTCGAGCGATAAAAACAGGTCCGAGCGACGGTCAGGGGGTTTCGTAAGAGAGCAATTATCCCGGGAATCTTGAAAATAACAGAGGTACTAAGTGCAAGTTGGTACCACTGACGATAGCAAGCGTATGTATGTATGTAAGAGTTGGCACTGAAATAGGTAGAGGTAAAGTCAAAGTACTACGAAATATAGCCTATACGCCGCTAGCTTCTCGCTACACCTATATGATATATATATATTCTACATTGAAGATTATGTAGGACAGGCAGTGATCCGTGTTATGGCCAGCCGCCATTCGACCTCGGCACTACTCCAGGAAAAAGGGATCTTCAGGTCCCAGGGAAAATTTAAAGTTTCATTTGAACACTGTACTATGATATTCCTACGTAAATACGTGTCCACGCTCACCCCCGTCATACATACATATTTATCTTTTAAAGTGCCTCATAAGCATCCAATATGGTGGTCAAGGAATGCATCATCGAACTGACTAATTTTTGATTTCAGGAGGCGTATAGAAAATGGGTGTGCAGCTCCCTGGTGCCTTACTTTGCTCATAGGGGACCGCTGAACTCAGGAGTGATTAGGAAAACGTTGAGGGGTGCAAAAATACGGCCATGTCGTACATTCTGCCAGGCGGTCGAGCAACGTTGCCCCTACTTGCTTCCGGGGGATCGTGCCCCTGCTTACCCCACGCAATACGCCGGCGAACCCACGTTTCTTTGCAGAGGTAGGTCCCAAATCTTTGATCATCGATGAGCCGACTCTTGGTTAGAGCTTAAGATGGGTACACGTGTCCTTGGCACCCTATTCGCAAAAATCATTACTACACGCAATATACAGCACTGTCATTACCAATCGTGCCGATTGGCCACCGAGCGATCCTGACGCTATGGATATTTTTCTCTTCCATTCCACCTTACAGATCCCAACATCCCCGAAACGGGCGGCCAAGCCGAGAGGTCGTTGACTGCGAATGACAACGACACATGCTGCTTCCAAGAATGTGCACCGGGTTTTCCTCACGCCGGTATATGTTCCAATTGCTCGAGGATGCAGATCATCGAGAGGGACGGTTTCAAGGCAGCGTCGGCTCCGCACTGCGAAGTCACGGTGCCCCTCACGGCGTCCACAGGTAGGCCTACGTAAAAATAGTACCCATCAGCCAGGATAAATAAAAAAGAGTCAATCGATGATAAAGTGCCCATAAATTAATTGGTCCAGGTCAGCAGCAGCAGCAGCAGCAACGGCAGGACGCAGCTAATCCCCAGGAGTCGTTCGATGCCGACAAGGAATACAACCCCGACCTCTCGTCGACCCTGACGCCCCTGGCGAACGAGCAGGGTACAAGCTTCTGCGGAAGCGGCGGCGTGGGCTCGATGACCACCTCATCCTCGTCATCCCGGAGTACCCAACCCTCGGTGCCCTTCTCTATGATCTGTCTATTCTGGAGTTGGGGCGTACTGATCACCCTCTGCACCGGCAAGATTACCGAGCACCTTGTCACCCTGGCACGCACCAGGACTCCCCTGCGCAGGATCGTCCTCGCTCCTGGCGCTCTCGGTTCAGTGGCCTTCGGTGTTTCGAGGACGATCGTCAGACTCGCAGGGATCACCCTGACCTTCCGATCCTTTCATAATAAAGTGAAGTGCTGCTGGTGCTCGTGCTCGTGCTCGTGCTACGGGTGGTGGTGGCGGTGCTGCTACTGGTGGTGGTCCTTGTGGAACGGGTGCTGGAGGTATAGGATTGATACGGCCCTGCCCGGGCTGCTGGATCGTCATATGAGGAACCGTAGTCGACCGGCGCGATTCAAGCGTCCCCGTCGTCGAAAGAGACGCCGCAGACGGTATCGCGGGAGAGGGAGACAGAGAGAGAGAGAGAGAAGCCTCTGGATATTCGACAATTGATAATAAATTGATAGGCGCGATTAATAATTGATTACGTAGACGGTACGACGGGGGGAAGAAAAACGTGTGCGGGACGGAGCCGTGATTATACGCGTATAAGAGAATAATATAAGGGAAGCAGAGACAGGCCCGATGCGAGAAGAAAATTTCGAGGGGAAACGGGTAAAGGGAGACGGAATTAAATAATAAAAGGGGCCGAATGGGGATACGCTCGAGGATACGAGGCCGTGGGAAGGCATACGAAGGAGGGAGGATCCGGGGCTGGAAAAACGGGATTAAACATCGGCAGTTCAGTTCCGAGATATATGGAGGATGTAACGCTAATAATAATAATGATAACAATAATACAATAATAAAATAATAATAATACGGAATAACGATAAAATAATATTGCCGGTAACGATATAATAATACAATTATTATACACTACTTACGTATACATATATATATATATACACACAAACACATAAAAACGCGCGCGCGCGCGCGCACACACACACACACACACACACACACACATATATATGTATATATATATATAAGTCATAAATAATGAAAATAATTAACATGAGGCAACATGGAGTATAGGTAGGTAGTGAACATGATAATGATGATGATGATTCGAAATATGAATATAGGGATGTGCGAATGCGAAATCGCCATGGTGAATCGACTTTGAGAAGAGGTCGGGAAATAAGAAGATAAATCGAGCGTCGTGTAAGGGAAAAAAAAATAAAAGGACACGTACGACGACGGATATTGTTATCGAGGTATAATATGTGTTCGTTTAGACATTATATACATAACTATTATATAACTATACATAAAAGGAAACTAAAGGAGGAGTATACACGAGACACAATTTATACGCGCATTCGAGGGACGGGTGATTTGAAAAGTGTGTACACTAAGTGGCGGAAGCCGGAAGTCGTGGGTGACGTCAGAGATCAGGCGACGTGTATACATATATGTATACGTGCGTTGTACGTATAAGGGACATGTGCGAGGAGGAATCAAACGAAGAGGAGGAAGAAAGAGAAATGTATAATTACGAGGAGCAGCCGTTGGCAACGATAAGCGGATGTGGGGGGGGGGGGGGGAAAAAAAAAGAAAGA